GAATCGCTTGTACGACAAACCATTGCCTGAGGGTACGACGAAGTACGTTCCCAAATCGAGAATGCTTTCTCCCAACAATCGTTTCATGATTATTGGTGGCACAGCTTTCAATGAGTTGATCCGAGACAACTACAGACGCGTGAAAGGACAATGGGTGAAAATGACAAAAGAAGAAGCCGAGGCGTACGATAAAGACCCGAACATTGACATGATGTTCTTTGACAGTGACTCGGTTAGCGATAGCGAGTACGTCGACATTGATTAGTTCGAGTACGACGCGGATGGCCATGCTATTTTCCCATTGTAACTAATTCACATCATTTCACTTTGGGTACTTAAAAACTCTGTGACCCTAATATAAATGAGTTCACATCGCGTTGGCTATACTATCAACCCTGAGACCGGAAAACAAATCAAAATCGGTGGACCAACTTGGAAGCGATTGGCAGCCAAGTACTACGTGATCGGCGATAGGTTCACCGATCAGACCATTCCTGACTCGAGAGCCTATGTGTCGAACAAGGTACTCGGGATGAAACAAGTAACCCCTAAAGGGCGCGTGACGCACAGACGAGTGAGTGACCCTGCGGGAAAGCACAAGTACATCTACGTGGCAAGCAAGGCATGGAACGAGCGGTACCTCGAGTACGAGCGGGATGGGCACATATTAGGTGAGAAGCGACAACGTCACCTACCCGGTTACCTGAACACCGTGGAGAAGAGGCGTGAAATGAGACGCAATAAGGCATTCGAACGCTTCGATCGCAAGGTCTCACAGGGGCGTTTGAGTGATGTGATCGACTTGTCTCTGGGATATACACTCGCGTACTATCACACTGTGGGAGGAGACATGTACAAGGAATGGATGAATGAGAAGCGCACCAAGAAGGACTTCCGCCTCAATAACGATGATGACAAGAGACTGTGGGTTCGACTACCGGGTGAAAAGGGCGATGAGGAAGTGGAACCGATCAACCTCGTATTCGATGAAAGCGAGGAGTTCAATGAGATCGTGAAGAAGTTCATCATGACTGGTATGCGCGAGTACAACCAGTGTTTCGTCACCATCATGGCATACAACCTCATGTTGACACATGACGGAGATCCCAAGATTCTCAACCTCACCGATGATCGATTGGGACACCTTCGCATCGTTCGCCGAGAACGCATCGATGATTGGATCGAGGAGTATCGGAAGTGGTACAGAAATGCCGTGGAAGAACGGGAGACGGAGGGAAGTGGGTTCGTGTACCATGGGTGGATCGGTTTCCACATCGAGATGTTCCCACTACGGACATTCGTGGGATACAGACATCCGACTCCGTTCGTCATCAGGCGTACAGTAATCAACCCGAATATCAATGACAACCGATGCCTACAACAATGTCTCATTCTGGCAAGTGAAGGCGGGCACAAGATTATTGCAAATCGCAAGATGGGCGATGCAACCATGTACAACAAGTGGTGGAAACAACCCGATAAGTACAAGGTATTCGGAGTAACAATTTTCGAAGTGGAGGAGGCGATAAACATTCGCCACAATGCACCCTTCAATCATAGTGAAGAGAAATTCGCCGCATTGGAGGCATTGCTGAAAGTCTCTCTCAATGTATTCGAGGTCACACTCTTGCCTGGATACACCGATAAGACGAAGGAGCAATTCGATTTATTCACATGCGATCTAGTGTACAAAGGTAAGGAGAAAGCATGTCTCCCTCTCTCTCTCTGCTTCTTGAACGATCTGAATCTACCCGAGGGCACTCCCAAGCATTTCTTGTACATCAAGGACTTGAGCGATTTCAAGCATCGCATGACACGACAGAATGATGCGAAGAATAGACATCTCGCAAGAAACGTGAAGTGCAGATTCTGTGACGACTTCTTCGGATCTCGCAAAGCCGTTCATGACCCCGAAGTACAAGCACATCGAGAACTCGTCAATGAAAGCGAAGAGTACGACTTGGCGAACGAGGAGACTAGGTTGCGATTCACCAACCAGAGATACGAAATGCCAGCACCGGTCGTCGTGTACGCTGACTTCGAGTCAGCCATTGATGACAAGAACACACACAAGCCGATCATGTTATCCTGTCTAGCCGTGTCACGCATTCCAGCCATTGATACCCAACTGAGAGTCTTCCATGCACCGCACGAGAGCGAGGAGGATCTTCGTCCTTTCATGGAGTATTTCGTGCAATTGCAAGAGAGTGTAAAAACATACCTCTTCGATGAATTGCCATTGGAGAGCACATCGAAGGTCGAGAAGGACTTTCGTTCAGCAACCGTGTGTCCCTTCTGTCGCAAGAAACTATAGAACGACAAGGTTAGACATCATGCACATGTGGCAGGTGAATACACCACAGGGAAGGGAGGGATATGCAACTTCAAAGCTCGGCAGTACATCTTCACCTGTTGCACCAAGTGTAACCTACAACTCTCGTTCAACAAGAAGAATTATCGTCTACCCGTCTACTTTCACAATGGATCGCACTACGACTTCACATTCATCATGAAGATCATCGCAACAATGCCTGGCGGGAATCTCGAAGTCATTCCAACCACTGAAGACAAGGAGATGCAGATCGAATACAATGGCATTCAATTCAAGGACTCGTTGAAGCTCATCAGCAGTCCACTGCGTTCCATTGTGGCTCAGACACTTGGAGGCAACCTCGATTTGTACGTGCACACCAAAAGACAACTATGCAAGTACTGCCCGTCTCGAGGCAAGCAGTGGAATGACGAATACATCGATTTGTTGACACGGAAGGAACCCATGTTCTACAGTCTCATCAAGTCGTACGAGTCATTGAACAATACCGTCATTCCTTCTCGCGAGCAATGCATTGATGATATGAAGGGAGAGATGATGCCTCAAGATGAGTATGATCACATGGTGAAGCTGTGGAAGACATTCGATATCAAGACATGGGGTGAATACTACGAATTGTACAATGTACTCGATGTGACTCTCATGGCTGATGCATTCGAGCACTTCCGAAACACCACACTGAATGCATTCGGTGTTGATCCCATGCATTACATCACAGCACCACAAATGGCCTATTCGCTCTTCTTGAAGGTCACAATGGAGGGCGATCATAGTGAGAGTAGCCTCATGACCCTCGCAAGGAAGTGGGCTCAGTACATCATGCACATTAACGCGAATGAGGGACTCGCCGAGAAACAACTGGTGAAAGTGTTCTTGAATCGCACGGGTGTATTCTATGAGAACAAGGGCATTCGATTGATGGAAACAAATGATATCGATGACTTCATGCGATTGTTGAAGAACCTGCGAGGAGGTATCACACAGATCGTGAAACGGCATGCCAAGGTCAACATTGCCAACAAGGAGCAAGCAACGTCGTCCCAAGGCATCTACTACCTGGACGCCAACAACCTGTATGGAGGAGCCATGCATCGAATGATGCCTTATGAGTTGGTGGGTGTACCTGAGCGACTAGAAGTGATGGAGAAGATCAATCGTGACCCGAATGGATGGGTGCAATCACTCAAGACGTTCGGTAAGTATGGATTCTTCATTGAGTGTGATATCGAGGCACCAGTGGAACTCCACGACAAGTTCAATGATCTGCCATTCTTCCCCGTACAGAAGGCGGGTATGTACTCCGATGGAATCAAGAAGTACGCTGAGAAGAACGACATTGTGGACAAAGTGAAAGAGGTGAATACACCGAAGCTCATCTGCGATCTTGTACCTCGTCAAAAGTATCTCGTGCATTACTCACTGTTGCAACTGGGCATTCAACAGGGATATCGTGTCACGCACATTCACCACATCATTCGATTCAAGCAGGCACCGTTCATCTTCGAATATGTCAACATGCTGAGTGAGAAACGAGCCAAGTCCAAGACCACTGTGGAGAAGAACCTGTACAAGCTGTTGGCAAACTCGACCTATGGCAAATTCGTGGAGACTGGGTTGAAACGGATGAAAGTGAAGTTCGCTAACACATGGAATGAACGTGAAGCAATCATTCAGAAGCATGGATACGATATGATCGCCGGGACTACCATGTATTCCGAGAATCTCATCGGCATCAAGCTGAATACACCGGTGCGCAGGGTGGAGAAGCCATTCTTCATCGGGTTTGCCATTCTGGACATGTCCAAATACATCATACACGATTTCTACTACAATGTGCTCAAGAACACATTCGATAACGTGGAGTTGTTGGGACAGGACATAGAACTGCTAGGACCCAAACTCAAGGACGAGCACAACGGACATCGCATCACCGAGTTCGTGGGACTCAGACCCAAGATGTACTGCCTCGTGGATGAAAAGCATGGAGTAGTGTATGGCTTACTCTCTTTACCATAGACAGCACGGTGAACAGGGGTAATCTTTGATCGTCCAAGAGTAGTACGGTTTTAACGCAACATAGTGTTAAACCCCTGATTACACCGATCAACGACTCCAGGCTAGCTGGAGTTGCTTTGAGAGAACGAGGTCAACGGGTGGACACAATTGTCGACATGGAGTCTCGTGAAACCCCTACGAAAATCGCGTAAATGGTGGGATGGGTTTTACACACTTTGCCTTCAACGTCCGCGTAAGCTAAGGTTACCATTTCACACATAGACCTATACTTTTCTTCATCATTTTTTCGCTTTTACACTTTCTGGTCCCATCCTCACTTGAGATCAACTATCCACTTTTATTTCCCTTTATTTTGCTTATTTCTTTTAACAATCAAACCACAAAACTCTATTCACAATATTATTACTAACTACAGTAGTTTCGCCCCTCGTTCTGGATTATTCCGGTGAAATTCCTGCATCATTCGCAGACCCTCCGCAGTCCCAATACTCATCTTTTCACACGCTTCCTCGCCCATCTTCTTCTCAAACACAATTCCAAACTGCTTCAACTCTTCCAACGCTTCTTCGAACGTCGCATAATGCATCACACCCTTCAACAACTCCAGCGACACCGTCGGTTTCACCCTTCCTTCGCAATCTCCCTCCAATCTCTACGTGAAAAAAACGCTCTGCAACGCCGTCGTTCGCACTCTCCTAAAGAACTGCTTCATAAAATGACGGCATTCGAACGGAATATCCGAACGATCCCACAATGCGAAGAACCCCGCGGAATCTTCGCGTCGGAGCGCCACGCACACGCTCAGAACCAATCGGATGCGCGGATCGCTCAGCTGCTCCACCTTCAGCGACTGCAGCATCGCATTGCAGTCCAAATGCTGCTGGCTGAACATTCCGTAGAGCAGCTGATAGCACGCGAATTCGATTTCGTTCTGTGACTGCAATCCGCGCTGATACAAGTCTTTCAGCTGCGTTTGGCACCGATTGAACTCGTTCATGTCGTTCTATCTCCCACATCTCCTTCGAATCTACGTTGCACAGCGCAGAACGCGCGTGTTCCTCATACACCGTCACCGTGAAATCGTCGTGAATGTGCTGCACCTATCCATCACGCCCGAACAGGAGTTCCACTGTGAGATCTTGGCGAATCGCTCGCATCTGATTGGAGTAGTACTCGTACGAGACCTCCTGTTTCTCCATTTTGTCGTGGAGAATGGAGAGCCATTGCTGCAGAACGGGTTTCGGCCGAATCATATCGGGAGTGGGGATCTATTTCTCGTCGAATTCGAAGAACATTCTACGGTGGTAAGTCGGAAATACTCCTTTTCCATCGTCATTCGCGTTCCCACGATCGGTTTGTCCGTCTAGTTCTAAGGAATTCTGATCGAACACACTGAAACCGGCTCCACCTCCGTCACGTGCGTCGAATTCGAAGGCGTTTCATCCACCGCGAAGCGCTTTTTGCGCGTTTGCATTTCCTGCTGCAGCTCCAATTTCAATCTTCGCTTTTCGCTCGCTAGTTTTTGCTTCTTTTCGCTTTGCGTCATTCGTCGAACCACCGAATTCGAAGGCATCGAAGATTCGTTTTTCTGCGATGAAACGCCTTTCAAATCGGAGGGATCCGAAGACGGCGAATTGGATGATCGCGAATGAGACCGAGACCGAGATCGAGATCGAGATCGAGATCGAGAGCGGTGATGACGATGAGAACGCGAATACGATCGAGAACGCGATCGAGAACGCGATCGAGAACGCGATTTGGAGCGCGAAATGGATCGAAATCGTCCTTTGGATCGGGTTTTTGGCTTAAATTGGGGAGTTTTGTAGAGGCTGTCCAGCATTTTGGGGTCCAGATTGCCATCGGAGGGCGCAGTGGGAACTGCCGAGCTGCTGGGCATTGCCGAGGTGGAGGAAGGCTGAGAAACGGAGGGCTTGGAGGAGGAGGATTGGGATGAGAGGGAGAGCGGGGCGGAAACGGGGACGCTGGGAGGTTCCCGGACGATGTCGACTAAAAATGAGCGAAATGAAGAGAAAAGAACTACATTTGGTGACTCGCTTTTTGGGGGCTGTGGAGGAAGGAGCTTCGAAAACGGATTTATTGTAGCTTGCAAATGGATTTGAACTAGATTCAAAAAAAGCCAGAAAAAGCAAACTAAGCTCCTCCCATGGTCGATGTTGTGCTTCCTGACGGCTGAGACCATGAATAGTTTGTAGACGCGGTAGCCGTAGAAGTAGAGCCTGAAGCGGGCGGAACGGAGGACGAAGCACTGGAAACCGTCGAATTCGCTCCATAGCTCGTGGAGTACATGTTCTGAGCACTTGCTGCAGTAGTTGCCGCGGACTGAGAAGTGCTTTGAGGATACCCATAGCCATAGTACATTGCAGGTTGCTGATACGGGTTATAGTACATCCCGTACGGGTTTAAATACATAGAAGTAGAATTTACCATTCTAGAAAGTGAAACGGGCAACCATGACTCAAACCCATAACTTGGATAGGAATATTGCATCCCCATATAGTTGTAACCCGAATACGGATTCGGCATCGATCCCATAGGAGATGTACCTGTATTGGCTCCCACGGCATTGGTTGCCGGCGATGTTCGAGAACCAACTCCGGGAGGACCATATGACCCCGAACTCATTCTACCGTAACACCTTTTTGTTGATGTAAAAAACAACCTCAACACACAACTACTATTACACAGAAGACACACTCTGCCTCTTATTTCTCAACGATTTCATATCTCTATACAGCTCATCCAGCTCACTCTCGCGATCCCTCAAACATCCCTTCAATTGCTCGATCGCCTGTCGATACACGCCTTCATTCCGCTTCAGCTTCTCATTCGCCGCCTTCACCGTCTCATACAACCTCTCTCTCTTCTCCAGCGCCACCTTCCCTTCCCGCACTCGCTCCTCCAGCACCGTCCCGCGGTTCTCCGCCTCTTTCAGCGCCTCCCGCAGCTGCTCCAACTCTTCCTTCATTCGCTGCTGCGCCGCCTCGCGCTGCGACCGATCCTCCTCGCGCAGTTTCCCCATTTCCTCCTCCTTCCGCCGCAGCTGCGTCTCCAATTCCTCCTTCATCGTCCGCGTCGACGCCAATTCCGACCGAATAACCGCGATTTGGTCCGTCAGCGTCGCGCTCTGGCTCAGTGCCGCGGTTTTTCCCTCCCGCACGGCCTGCAGCTCCTGGTCCTTCTCGGCACGCAGAGCCTCCAGCCGCGCCTCCAGCGCGGAAGTGTGGCTCAGCAGCGACTGAATGAACGCGCTCAGCGCCTCGGGGTTCGCCGTGCTGATCGCTCCCGACGGCGTTTCGATCAGCGACCCGCTGCGGAGCCGCTGCAGCTCCGCTTGGAGGCCGTCCACGCGATCGTTCGCGTGCTGCAGCTCCTGCTTGAGCGACTCCTGGTCCAGAAGCCGCTGCTTGTCCACATCGTCCGCTCGACGCACGCGCAGCTGCAGCATCGCTATTCGTTATCAACCCAACAAGCTAGCTCCCACTCAGTTCCTTCGATCGACTCTCCGAAACCCCACGAAGCTCCGCTGCTTCCGCGGTTATCGCGCGTAACTGCGTCTCCGAAGCCGCCAGCGCCGATTGCAGCCGCGCCGATTCCGTTTTCGCCGCTTCCAGCGCCGCTTGCGCCATTCCCGCGGTTTCCTCGCTGCGTTTCCACTCGGTTTCCACGATCTCCAGCCGATTCTGCAACTGCGCGATCTGCGCTTTCCCCGCGGTATTCTCCGCTTCCGCAGTTTCTAGCCGGCTCTCTAGAGCCTTCTTCGCCTCCTCTTCGACATCCCCGCGTAACTGCAGCTCCGCCAATCGCTGGTCCGCCTCGCTCCGCGCCTGCTGCTCCGCCGCCAGCGCTTCCTGCAGGCGTTTCACGGCCGTTTCATCGGCCAAACAGCCGCCCGCGACGCGGCGTAACTCCTCGGTGAGCGCGGCGACGGCGTCTTCGCGGTCCTCCAGCTGCACGCGGAGCTTTGTGTTCTCAGCGCTCAGCGTCTCCAGCGCGTTCTGCGTCTCCACGACCTGGTTTCTCCGTTTCTCCGATTCGGTGTGGGCCTGGGCGAGCTGCGAGCGCAAACTCTCGGCGAGGGTCTGCGCGAGAAGCAGTTCTTTCTGTACGGACTGCATGTCGGCGCGCAGAGAATCGAGCTCTTTCAGGCTCTGCTTGTAGAGAGACGCGAGCGACAATTCCTCCGCGGCGGGCTGCGGCGACTGCGCGCCGTCCGCGCCGTCCGCGCCGTCCGCTGCGGGGAGGGAGGAGAGGAGGGAGAGGAGGGAGGCGTCTCCCGCGGGGAGGGAGGCGAGCGGGTCGATGGAGTCGGTATCTGTGGGGATATCGTTGAAGGAAGGGGGGTTGGGTTCGATGGAATTCGGTGGATGGGTGGTGGGGGTTTCATTTGTGGTGAGAGTTTCATTCATGATGGGAGTTTCATTCTCATTCATAACGGGAGTTTCATTCATAACGGGAGTTTCATTGAAAGAATCTATGGATCGAGAATTGATTGGAGTGAAACTACTCTGCATCAAATCAGATTCGATAACCGCGGAATCTGCAACGGAAGTGGAGGTTTCCCGCGGTTCCTGGTTGTGATAGTCCGTTTCGATCTGATTCTGCAATTCCAAAATTCGCTTTGATTTCTGCGTGATGGTGGTTTCGAGTTCTTTCAACTCGGCTTTCAATGATTCAATCAATCGGCTTTGCTCTTCCATAATTCGGGCCGATTCTTGGAGTTGGGCTTCGCAGCCCTGCAGACGATTCACTTCGTTCCGCAGATCTTCCAGTTCGCTCTCCTCCCCGCGGGAATCAGCGTTCAAGGGAGGGAAGGATTCTTGGAGAGCTTGATGGGAAGCGTGGAGGGAAGCGATGACGGTTTGGAGCGTTTCCTGCTCTTTGGAAAGATCGAGGATCTCGCCTTCCAGCTTCGATTTGGCTTCGGTCTGCGTGCGGATCGATGCCTCGATGGCTTCTTTCTCGGAGTGCAGCGAAGCCAGGGATTGGCGAAGCGCCGATTCCTGCTGAGCCAACGACTCCAATCGATTCGAAAACTCATCATCATTATTGTCATTATTGTTCTGATTCACATTCACATTCGAATTCACATTCACATTCGAATTCACATTCACATTTTCATTTCCATTTTCATTGTGATTCACATTCACATTTTCGTTTCCATTTTCGTTTCCACTTTCTTGATTGATTTGATTTTGATTGGCTCGCTGCTGCATCAACAATTCCACTTGCTGGCTCAGCGATTCGATTTGTTTCTCTCGCTCCGCCATCATTTCATGCATCACTTCGATCTCTTCCCGCAGCTTCTCTGTCTCCTCGCCTTCCCCAGTTTCTCCATTTCCACCATTTCCGCGCGCCTCCAACGCGGCCTGCGCCTCAGCGAGCGCGTTCTTCAGTCTGTAGAGCTCCTCATTCTTCTCATTCAGCAGCAGCGTCGTGGCGTTGGACGTCCGATTGCTGTCCGCGATCACTTCGTTCAGCAGCAGATTGTTCGTATGCAGCGCCTTGATCTGCGTGATTAGCGCCTCCACGGAGAGAGAATCGGGTGAGTCCGCGGACGAGTTGAGCTCTTGATCGGGTTTTGGATCGGAATTGGGAGCCAAATCGGAGCGAAGCGGCAGCGGATTGGCGGACTCTTCGCTGAGAATCTGCTGGACGACGGCTTGCAGCTCGGTCTGCTGCGTTTGAAGCTGCTCGAGCGTTTCTCGGCTCTGAAGGATTTGCTCTTGAATCGAACTGACGACCTGCTCCATGGCTGTTTTCTGCTCTTCCAGACTCGATAAACTGCGTTTTTCTTCTGTGATCGACTGCTGAAGCGACGCGAATTCGCTCTGCGCAGCGCGCTGCTCGCTCAGAAGAACCGATTTGGATTCTTCAATAGAAGCTCGCTCCGCGTTGAGGGCGTTCAGCGCTTGTTCGAGGGTTGCCTTGTTTTCGGTTAACTCAGCGATCGATTCTTCCAGCTGGTTTTGCTTTGCGGTGAGTTCGCTGGACGATTCTTCGAGGACTTCGTGGGATGTCTGCAGCGAAGCGATCACGGTTTTGAGGGTTTCCTCGTCGTTCATGAGGTCCTTCACTTCGCTTTCCAGCCTCGCACGCTCTTCGCTTTGCTGCCGGATTGCGCTTTCGATGGACGTTTTCTCTGCTTGGAGCTTGTTCAGATCGGCGGAGAGCTGGGATTTGATGACTTCGAATTGCTCGACTTGGGAGAGTTGAGCTTGGTCCAGTTCGCCCTTCAAGGAAAGAACGTCGTTCATTATTTTCTCCTTCTCTTCGCTCAATGATTCGATCTCCGACTGGAATTGATTCTTCTTTAGAGCGATTTCGTGCAATGACTTTTCCTTCTCTTCGTTCATTGCTGCGATTTCCGCTTCTAGTTCATTCTTCTTGATGGTTAAGTCGTTCAATGATTTCTCCTTCTCTTCGTTCAGCGATTTGATTTCGTTCTCGATTTCAAGCTTATTGGCTTCCAATTCATTCAAGGATTGTTCTTTCTCTTCGTTCAATTCGTCGATTTCTCTCTCCAATTCGCTCTTTTTCTCATTCAACTCATTCACACACTTCTCTTTCTCTTCATTCATTGATTCAATTTCATTTTCTATCTCGCTCTTCTTCTCGTTCAATTCATTCATTTGCTTTTCCTTCTCTTCATTCAATCTTTCGATTTCAGATTCCAATTCATCCTTCTTTGCATTCAATTCATTCAGTGAATTCTCTTTCTCTTCATTTAATTCTTTGATTTCATTCTCCAATTCATTCTTCTTCTCGTTCAATTCATTCACAATTTTTTCTTTCTCTTCATTCATCGCATCGATTTCTCTCTCCAACTCGCTCTTTCGATTCAGCAAATCACTCGCTTCCTTCTCTCTTTCTTCATTCATTGCTGTGATCTCTGCCAGTACTTCGCTCTTCTTCTCCTTCAGCTCATTCAATATTCTTTCCTTCTCTTCATTCAATCCTTCAATTTCCTTCTCCACTTCATTCTTCTTTGATGCCAAGTCATTCAACAATTTTTCTTTTTCTTGAGTCAATCCCTCGATTTCCGATTGGATTTCGCTCCTCTTTCCATTCAGTTCATTCACACAATTTTCCTTCTCTTCATTCAATTCGTCGATTTCTCTCTCCAATTCATTCTTCTTCACATTCAACTCATTCAATGCGTTTTCCTTCTCTTCATTCAATGATTCAATTTCCTTCATCTTTGCATTCAGTTCATCCATCCGCTTTTCCTTTTCTTCGTTCAGCGCTTCGATTTCAGATTCCAATTCGCCCTTTCGACTCAGCAAATCATTCGATTCCTTCTCTCTGTTGTCATTGAATGACTGGATTTCACTCTCCAATTCATTCTTTTTCACACTCAACTCATTCATTACTTTTTCCTTCTCTTCGTTCAATCCTCCAATTTCACTCTCCAATTCATTCTTTCTCGCTGTCAAATCGTTCAATGATTTCTCCTTCTCTTCGTTCAGCGATTTGATTTCGTTCTCGATTTCAAGCTTATTGGCTTCCAATTCACTCAAGGATTGTTCTTTCTCTTCGTTCAATTCGTCGATTTCTCTCTCCAATTCACTCTTTTGCACCGTCAATTCATTCATTGATTTTCTCTTTTCTTCATTCAATCTTTCGATTTCATTCTCCAATTCATTCTTCTTTACATTCAATTCATTCACACACTTTCCCTTCTCTTCATTCAATTCTTTGATTTCATTCTCCAATTCATTCTTCTTCTCGTTCAATTCATTCACAATTTTTTCTTTCTCTTCATTCATCGCATCGATTTCTCGCTCCAACTCGCTCTTTCGATTCAGCAAATCACTCGCTTCCTTCTCTCTGTCTTCCCATTCGCGTATCTTCTCCTCCAATTTCGCAATCTTTTCCTTCATCTCCTCATCATTTCCACTTTCTTTCCCTCTCTGCTCGTTTTTCTCCCTCAATTCGCTCAGCTCCGCTTGCAAGAACAAAATCCCTATCCTCAATCCCACCCAACATCGCTACGCTCCGTATTTTCTCGCACCAACGCGTCTCTCTCCTCGCATTTCTTCTTCAACGAGTCGTTTTCCGATTGCAACTGCGAACATTCCTGGCTCAGCTGCACATCATTCCACACCCAGAACACACTACGCTTTCCACTTTCTTTCGCATCTCCTCCGCTACAGCTGGAGGAAGAGACGAAGTCGACATGGAGTCATACAAATTTTTGAAAAAGTTCACGTCACTCTCAAGCTGTTCCTTCTCTTGCATCGACTTTGATATCTCCTCGTTCAAACGCATGATCTGACTAATTTGGCTCTCGTAACGCTGCTCTGTCAAATTAATCTTGCTCTTTAACGATTCGTTCTCTTCTTGCAACAGAGAGAGCTGCTCACTCATGGTGCTGTTATTCTCGGAGAGTTCTTGAAACATCGATTTATAATACTCCAATTCTTTCGTTAGGGACTGAATATCGTACCCTGCACTTTCAGAACCGTTTAAGTCTGCTAATATTTCTGACTCTACCGAATCACTCCGATATTTAGCAATTTACCATTGAAGTAGCGTTGCTGCTGATCTCCCTCATCCGACATCGTTGCATGTGCCTCCACTCCCCTACCAATGCCTGCAGAGCGAGAAACATTGCCATGATTTCCGGAGAGGTGGTTTTCCTGACCATTCTCAGAGTCAGAGTCCGATGAGTGGAAATCGTCTTTCACCATGCTCCTTACAAAATCAGAAAATCCTGATGTAATAAAGGACATACGCAAAGATTCTGTGATGTTCGTTATTGTTCGAATGCATGTGCGAGTGCGTTTCTCGCCACAGCACGCGTGTCCGCACCATGTATCCGCTGAATTATTACCTTTTTCCAGTACATGTCATTCCCGCCCGAGTGAGTTCAACAAAAACACCCAATACATAAAATACGAAAGAATTACAAAACCTTATTCAACAACTGCCTCCACTTCTCGAAGAGATTCGGACCATTGCCCATTCTCCCTCCCTTCAGCTGCTTTTCAATGTCCTTCATCTGCCTCTCGATCTCCTTACTCCACTGCGGCGGAATCGACTGCAGCAGCTTCTGCAGCACGAACATGCCGTAATGATTATCAAGCAGCTGCTGCACGGCCGAGACGGTGAGCAATTCCCTGAAAATCGTGTTGTCTCCCAGCATCACGCTGTTCGTGATCGACTTCTCCACCACATTGCTGCTATACTTCTGCTTGCTGAGCTCCAAATAATGCCCGGCCAGTTTGCTCAGAATTCCCCGGATGATCGAGTAATACCGAGCCAGCTTCTCCTCCGAATATCTACGATCGACCTCTCCTTCCCGCACCGCTACGCATCGGGGAGCATGAGGATGTGCTGCACGACGTAGTTGCCGACGGGGTCCGCGGACAAGTCCTTGGCGTGCTGGATGATCACGCGCGCCAAGTCCTCCTTGCGGTCGATGTCCACCTGTCCGTAGCACAGCCGCAGCACCATCGAGCCGTTGCGGTCCCGCGCCACGTCGTAGCACTTCTCCAGCAGGATCGAGTAGATCGGGGTCCATAGCGAGCTAGTTCGTTAGAGAGCGAGGGAGCGGGCACATGTCGAAGGTCTTGATGATGCGCTGGATCACGTGGGTGCCGCGCTCGTGCTCGATCAGCGGGAGGATCACGTCCTCCGTCGCGCCGGTGCCGGAGTTGACCACGCTGTGCTGGAGCGCCTTCACGATGATCTGCCCGAGCTTCGCGCTCTCCTTCATGTAGTCGATGATGTTCTGGAACGCGAAGTTCCCCGTCTTCTTCACGCTGATCTCATAGATCGTGCTCCCCGGCTCCTCCTTCGGAAACAGCATCGCCTGCAGCAGCGCCTCCTTCTGCGCCACCGTCGCCTTTTTAAACAGCAGCTTCCCGTCACCCTCTCTCCACGCATTCTACCTGGTAGAAGTAGTTCCCGAACGTGTCGCAGATGATTTTGCACCCCGTCGGAAGCACCTCCGCCACGATCTCGCCCACCACCGCCGCGCACAGATCGCCGGACAGCGTACCCAGATAGTGCTGCAGGCTCTTCGAACCGTTCTGCGTGCACACCTCATCCGTCACGTGCCCCAGGTGCGACCGGAACTCGTTCCCGCGCTTCACTTCCTCCGCAGCTAGCGTTAATTCCCCGCGGTGAGACTACTCAGCGTGCCCGAACTCAGCAGCGACGCCAGCGACCGACGCGTCGCCACCGTCTCTCCCATCGTGGAAACCGTGGAAACCGTGGAAACCGAGGACCCGGGATTGGAGGCAGAGCGAGAGGCGGCGGATGCGTTGGGGGGGTTGGAGGCTTCGTCGGGTTTGTGCACGTGCTCGACGGAGTGCATGGGGGACACGCTCTCCTGCGGCGTGGGTCCGGAGAGCGGGGATACGGAGCTGCGGGTGAGGTTAAAAACAAAAGAAAGAAGGTACGATCGGCTGTGGGAGAGATGGACGGGGAGGTCGGGCGGGAACTTGAAGGGCGCTTCGAAGGAGTGGTGGTGCGCGGAGGCGTCGGCCAGCGCGCTCTCCGAGGCGGGCTCGAAGCGGCGCGGGAGCGGGCCGCAGCCCAGCGAGCCCATCGCTGCGTACGACGGCGCGGGCTTGAGGATGTGCGGCCGCAGACGCTCTAGCGGTGAGGGGGCGGAGCCAAGCGCACTGGAGTCGGTGGGGTCGTCCAGCGGCGTGACGTCCAGCGAGGGCACCGTGAAGAGCGGGTCCAGCGACCCGGTCATCGGCGGCATCTCCATCTCGCTCACGCTCCGCGGGAGGTACACGTCGATCCGCAGCGGGTCCGTTCCGGGGTCGTCGTACACCGCGGGGCCCCGCTCGAACGACGGCAGCGTCGACTTGGTCCGCGGCAGCGTGATGAACAGACCGCTCTCTCGCGACGGGTCCGCGCCGTACCCGCCCAGCAGGCTCGAGTCCAGCGGCTCCTGCGAGAACGAGCCCATGAAGCGATGGCTGCTAAAGTGACCTGCGCGTCAAAATACCCCCGATTTCGGGACTTTGGGGATCCGAATCGTAGTCCAGACCCGGGCCGTCGGCGTAGGGACTCTCCGTAGCGAGAAAGTTGACCTCCGCGGTGGTCTGCGAGCGGCGACGGGGGCCCTGGGGGTTACGGAAAGGGGAAACGGGGAACCATGCCAGAGCCGGGGGTGGGGGCTTGATACGGATTGGTTTGGGGGGAGAGCGAGAACTCGAGAGAGTCCAGCTCGCTTACCATCGCACAGTCATCCAGCGAAAAACGACGTGATAGGAGGTTAGATGGGCGGTGAGAGGGGAAGGGCGAATTGGAATTCTTCATATAGTTCCTATAATTTAAAAAAAGTAGAGCGCAGGTACAGTTGGAGCGAGTTGGCCTGGTTCAGTGTGGGCCAATTATCTTCTCCCCCAATTCCACGCTACGCGTTAAGATTCGGCCAAACAACTACGCTAGAAGTATTTTCACCAACGGAGATCGCTTCGGAAGAGCACACAGCCCTCTGTGTCAATCTACAGGGAATTGAACGTTCAAGCACCTACCTAGTCTTACAAGAGGGGCATATGGTTTCTCCGTTAATTTTGCAATGGCAATCTACAGAATAAGCCCACACAACTCAAGTTCACTGAAGCACTCGTTCACTGCTGTAATTGGACTTTGAGATAGCTTTTCTTTAGGGTCCATAGAAATTGGACTGTCTTGACCGTTCCACATGGTTATACAAAAAAACAGACAATAACAAATAAAAAGGTAAGCAACAAGTTCCCTATCGATGCAGAGACTAAATAGACAGACTAGAGACTCAAGTTGTTGTCAACAACAACACCTTTTTAATGGTAAAACTAGATAATTTGTGTCAACGAAACCCCCTTGTCTTTCGTTGCGAACTTTCAATTCTAACCTCAAAAATGGGTTTAACATGGGCAATGGAAACGTGTAGGCGTCGAATTTCAAAAAATGCCAGAATCACAAATGGACTCATTTCGCGCTCTCGATAGAAGGAGAAGAGAAAGGAGCTATAAAACTCCTCCGATACCGATTTTTGGGACCATCATTGACATACTTCCATTTAAACTGCTTTCAACTTGTACGGTAATCCAGTCCACTGCGGGTGGTCCTTTCCACACAAGAGCCCTTATCATTCCAATATTCGCAGCTTTCCAACAAACAGGTTATACTAATTACGATTCAATCAGGCGTTCATATCAATAGTTGCGTATAAATCAGAGTATTAACGAAGACTTTTTTCTTTTCATTATCTAATTACGGTTCAATTCAGGAATGCTCAATCAGTTGTTGCTGTTGTTAAAGGAGCAGATCAATAACGATCTCCTCGGATTTCGGATTATTCCGGGTAGCCATAAAAGAACTATAGAACACTACACAGTCAGCCCCCAAAACCAAACTCCCTACTGTTGTATGTCGTTCGCGTCACTTTTTGGAGACGCTGAGTAACATACCGGCTATGGAAATAAGTAAAAGGGGTTAAAAAGATAAGTGAAACGAACCAGTTCAGGGGCACACGGTTAATGACACGGTGCTATCGGTAACCACTCCCGCAACAACATCTACTCGAACTGTTTCGGAATCACCCGTTTGGAGATAGACAGAAGGAATAATCCCCGCAGCAATCATCAAAGGAGAAAGACTCGAAGTAACACAAATTCTTTTCAGAAGAGAGTAATGTCCAGATCCAGGATAAAGCTTGTGGACGATTCGGTTCACGGTAAAGGATAAGGGTCCGGAGATGCAAAAACTAGAAATCCCAACACAGGCAAACCGTTTGAAATCACTACCCATCAGGAACTAACCTTTACGAAATACAATGGTTTGGCCTGAGGAGACATTTTCTGAGCCACCGCGTCTCCTACCAACATTGTACAACTAAAAGCAAAAGAAGAAGATAGGAGGCTGGTAACCAGCTCAGGATTTTCTAGGACCTTTCTCTGCAATAGGCGAAACATAACTAATAGAATACAAGTACAGCTTTAAAAAGATTTTGAAGGAAATAGGGTGACACAATTATCATGGAGTGACCTGATCACTGTACATCTCAGTGGCGGAAGCGCCAGTCATTTGCCTATGTAAAAATGAAACTCCTAATTGTTTGTATATACAAAATTGCACCCCCATGGAAAAAAGGATTGTAGGAAGAGGGATTAATATGAAAGTTGATGGGTCGTCTTCTCTATTGGTCTGTTCTTTTCTTGTATGGCAAATGAGGGGATTGGTGTCAATGGAAAGTGTGGTTGCTTTAACTGTTTTTGCTCCTATTGTCCGTTTTCGTTGCTGATTGTTGGTGCGTTTGTGAAGCATGCACATAGACACCGTTTTGCAACTCGAAGTTTCCATGTGATGTCACTCTTCGGAGTAAGGATGGATGAAATAGGGCTTTGCCATATCCGGCATTCCATTTCTTTGACTCGATTCTTCGTTTGCACCCTTGTCAAAGTGGCACACTTTTTACAAATTTTGCGCAAACACTTTATGAAACGATACAACACAGACCCAACTTTCTCTTTGAACCTTTATGAAGGCAAATAGAAAAATCTAACTTTATGGAAGAAACAGAGAAAGGAAACTTTTTAATTAAGAGACTAAGGCATTGGGCAAACGTACAGCCAGATAAGGAATGAATCTCTTGCTTTTAGGTAATCGTGTAGGTTGCGCTTCGTTATTGTAATAATTCTGGAAAAGAAGTGACTAGCTGCACGTATTCTGTAAGAATGCGAGGTGATGATCATGAATTAGCAATTAAACTATGTCACATACCGTCTCTCCCAAGTCCTTGTAAATGAGTGGATGTAGTATAGTAGAAATAGTGTAATTTGTAGGATTGCAAGAGGGGACACTGTTCTATTGGTATATCCACCCTGTATCGACTTTCTTATCGTTTTTCTGAGTTGTTTGAGGGCAGGAATCGTCGCTGTCCCTGTTTATCCTCCGTGTACGCTTTTTGGATTTTCTTTTGATTTCTAAGACCCGAGTGGAGCGAAGAAGAACATCCACTTATTTGCAGGAATTCAAAAGAATTGCTCCGCCTCTGTTGTATTGTGCAACAAGTTTTTTATTTATCGAAATCGCATTAAATCTAGTGAGTATATGAGGGTGAAGCAGTTAGCGGACATAAAGAACGTGTTTTCTCGCATTAGTAGCGAGTGGCCTTCCGTGACATGGCGCTGTACGGATAGCTATGTATCGGACCTTTCTCCCTGTGAGATTCCGGACGGTTTTCATTCGCAAGCCAAATCATCCTCTAGACGAACCTGCTCTCTCCTTCCCTGCGTCATCCCTCTGCTTCCTTCAATACACTTCCGGAAGCACTTCCTTCCCGAAAGGCGTCATGATCGCCATTTCCAACCTTCACTGCAACATGGACATCATCATCTCCGCTCTGCACGCCGATTCTTCTTCCATCGTCGTGAGTTGGCTTCCCCAATATCACGATATGGGTTTGATCGGATCATCGCTCTGCCTCCTGTACATATCCCTTGCTACCTGGATCCAATGTGTTCCAAAGTGTTCCAATGATGTCTATTTGTGTTCATTATTGTTCTGTTTGTGTTCTATTTTTGTGAATTAGTGATTATTGTTCATTTGTGTTCCGTTTGTGTTAATGAGTGATTACTGCTCACCATTGTGTTCCCATTGTGTTCCCATTGTGTTCCAATCTTGTTTCTTTGATTCACTGTGGGGGTAGTGGCATCTACTTCTCTCCGCTCGCCTTCATCGCCGATCCTTGTCTCTGGCTTCTCCTCATTTCTCGCTACCGCGCCACCCATCTCCAAGGCCCCAACTTCGCCTACTCCCTTCTCCTTCGCAAGCTCTCCCTCTGCGCCTACCGCCATCGCTTCGATCTTCGCTCTGTCCGCCACATTTTCAACGCCGCCGAGCCCATTTCCACGCTCACCATGCGCCAATTCGCCGCGCAATTGAAGCCTTTCGGGCTGCGCAGCGAGGCCCTCGTGGGCGGATACGGCCTGGCCGAGTGCTGCGTCTACGTCAGCGACGGCGGACACACCATTTTGACCGTTGACCGCGCGAAGATGGAGCAAAGCGGGGAAATTTGCGTTCTCCAACAGCGCGATTTGAATGAGGAGAACGAAACGCCAGACACGCGAGACGCTCCGAACAGAACTAAACCGCGGGAATCCGCAGATAATAGCGATCCAAAACCACACGAATCCACCCTGCAGAACAATGAAAAACCGCGGGAAACAACAGATCCACACCACCCGGCCCACGAAATCGTGGAACCAACCGGGGAAACCTCCCCTCCAACCGAGAAACCGGAGAAACCGGAGAAATCAGAGGAATCGGTGGAACCGGAGAAACTAGAGAAACTGGAGAAACTGGAGGTCCGGGAGTTGTTTTCCTGCGGCAATGCGTCGAAAAACGCGGGAATCCGGATCGCGATCGCGCGGGAAGCGTCGATTTGCGGCGAGGATCGCGTGGGGGAGATCCACGTGCAGTCGGGGTCGGTGGCGCGCGGGTATTACCCCGATAACCGCGCGAGCTTCACGGTGGAACTGAGGGGAGCGTCGGGCGTGTGGCTGTCGACGGGGGACTTGGGGTTCCTCCACGTTGGATTTGATTGTTTGTTTGTGACACAGAACGGCGAACTGTACGTGTGTGGCCGAGCCAAAGATCTGCTCATCGTGCGAGGCCGCAATTATTACCCACAAGACATCGAACAGGCCTGCTGCCTGCTTCCACAGGTCAAACCCGGCGCCGTCGCCGCCATCGCCGTTCCACGCAACGGGCAGGAATCGCTTGTCGTCGTTCTCGAGCTCCGAGACGCCGTGAGAACCGGAGAAACCGTGGAAACGGTGGTAACGCAGCTGCGGCAGGTGATCGCGGAGGAAAACGGGCTGGTTCCGAGCGAAATCGTGGTGATTCGACCGAAAACGATTCCGAAAACGACGAGCGGAAAGATCAGTCGACATCGCGTGCTCGACGAATATCGCAACGGAACGCTGCAGATTGTGTATCGACAGCAGTTCATCGATCTGCCCACACAAGAAGAACAAGAACAAGAACAAGAACAAGAAAACTCTTCAAACAAAGCGGAGAATTCGCAGGCCACAGCAGCGAAATCGATTCAAAGCACGCTGCCTTCGCAGCTCGACGGCATCGATACGGTCCGTTTCCACGTTTTCTCTCATATAGTTGGCGCTACACGGAGAACAGCTGCGTAGCACGCTGCTCGAGGACGTGTGCTCGCTGTGCGGGACGCAGTCGTATATGGTGACGCCGAACGACACTTTGGAGATGATGAATGTGGATTCGTTGCGAAGAGCCCAGTTGCAGGGCGTGCTCGAGCAATACTATGGCGCGAAGGTGGATCCGGAGTTGCTGTACGACGTGAATACGACGTTTGAGCAGCTGGCCAGAGCGGTGGATGTGGGGATAAAGGGATGATGTCACGGATAGAGCATTCCCGATCGGAAACCCATTGTGCAGGAGGTTCCGGCTGGAGAGGCAGGAGAGAATGTGGAACAGCCGCTATTGAAGCCGGTCCACGTTCCCAAGGAAAGAACATGTCTACAAAAGTATTGCTGCTTGGTGCATTTTGGTGTTTGTTTCAAATTCTGCTGCGATGAGTACGAGTTCGAACAGCACAGCGTCTGGCGAAACACAGAAGCAGTCATTGGAACAGCAACAGCCGCAAGAGGTTGCAAATGGAAGTACTGTACGTAGCAAATACATCTATATTAGAATAGACTCTAAGGAACCAAGAGCAAAGAGGGGCAGGAATAGACAATCGTTTGGATGGAAATTTGCATAATAATCAGAGCCTCTGTCTGCAGCAAACCTTTTCAGCCCGATTACGGAACCTATGGATAGGAATGCCCTTCGAGTACAAGCGAAGATTACTTTTCATGTAGGGAATTACGAAGGAGCTGCGCCAGTTGCAGTCTGCGCTTCAGCAATGGAGAAAGAGTCGAAGGCAGGAGATCAAAGACCATGTCTATGTCCCTGCACCTTTCGTCGTGATTAGTCATCATTATACAATCCCAAAACAAGAGAACGGAACAGTTTTTGTGTCATATCGGAATTCTCGTTATTTAAACGCGATGTTGAGCAACGAAACAAGAAGCGAGTCACAGTAGCGTGTTTATCTGTTTGTTTGTTTGAACAACGAGGAAGGGTTGTGTTTCATCACCACAAAAATGCAGCCGACTCTTTTCCTTATTGCTCTCTTGACATTTTCCGTACTTTTCTCATTGTCCATACTCATTTTAGGTATGCCTTGCCACCCCTGGTCCGATTACTTACTCTATGTGTTCGGAGCCGGGTGCGATTGGTAGGATCGATGGTACGGGATGAAGGGTGTTTGTGATATGTAGATGTTTCCATTTCCCCCAATCCTGTTCAACCCAGAGTTGTTACCGTTGTGAATGCGACTGGGACGCTGTCGAAGACCATCAACAAGGGAGCAACATGGAAACTGAGTGCTTCATTTAACAAATTGACCGTGTTGTGGAAGAATGGTGACTTGTGCGAGGATTCTGTGATTAATCTGCCATTCTGGACGGGTCATATTTATATTACGGGTCTGAAGTGCCCTCAAGTATGTGTGTTTTGTCAGTGAGTTGATGTTCAGGAAAAGGGCCAAATCACGCTTCAGGAGAGTGCGGAATTCTCTGTAACGCCTCTGAGTGGCGTTTATGGTATCCACGCTGAAATGTTCGATGAAAACCATGACCAGATCCTGTGTCTGGACATCGAAGTACCGATGTAGTTCATTTTAGCTCTATTCACTACGCTTTGTTGGTTGGAAACAAACACACAACTTCTTCTGCTCGTGCTGCAGCACCAGGTCAAACTGCTTAATGGGCAGGATCGGGCAATAAGTCACATCCTTCAGATTCTCGTCATGGAATCCGCTGCCGATGCTGAACTTCTGGTAGAGGTTGTTGTACAGATAGTAGTACAATCCGTTCACCGGCTCGTCCTTTCCGTTCGCCTTCCCAATGAACACATCTCCATTGAAGTAGAACAGGAAGATCGGGTTCTGATCCAGCAAATACTTGTTATGGTAGTACACGCGGTCTTCCAGCACCATCACATTATACCTCGTGATCTCGTCCGCATGATCGAAATCGTAATTCAGATCCTTGATCGCGTTCGCCACGTGCACCGTGCACTCCCCCATCGGCCGGCCTTCCTTCCACTTTCCCTCGATCCACAGGCCCGACGGCAGCACCATCCGTCCACTCGTCAAGAACTGGTTCTGGAACGTTCCCACCCAGATCGCGCCGGACGACTGGATCCACCGTCCTTGCATCAGCGCGCCCTTCTCGAACTCTCCGCTCTGCACCAGCGCGCCGCGCTCATACCGCGTGCCCTGGCCGTGGAACACGCCGTGGTCCCACTGGCCCTGATAGACCACTTGCTGCAGCGTGGCGTCGATCAGCGTGCCCACGCCGTGCGGAACGCCCTCGCAGAGATCGCCGTCGTAGAACAGTGTCGGCGCCATGCGGACGAAGTTCCGCGAGAGAAGCGGCTTGGAGTCGGAGAGACGCGGAGCGGTGCATTCGGCGTTGAGAGGAAGGCGGTAGGCGCGGCGACTGAGCTCCTCTTCGGTGCTGATCTGGTAGTCGGAGAGCGTGAGCGCGAGGTGGAGGTCGGAGAACGCAGAGGGATGGTTTCCCACTTCGATTCTACGCGATGAGGCGAGGAGAGGAGAGAGAAGTACACGCGATTGTGGTTCTGGAGCCAGAACTCCACGTCTTCTTGCGAAACGTACCGCGAGAGATAGTAGGTGTTCTCGTTGATCTCGCGCCAGTGGAGAACCATCGCCTTCTGCATCGCGCGACGCTCCTCCTCTTCGGCCAGCCGCTTCTTCTGCCGCTCGAGCTCCGCCTGTCTGGCTTCTTCCTCCTTCCGCTTGCGCTCCTCTTCGAGTTCTTTCTCGCGCTTTTCGTGGAACGCGCTCATCGCCTCGTCGAACGATTTCTGATATTTCTCGCACATCTCGCGGTATTCTTCGCCGCTGGCGTTCGACTGCGTCGCTTTGACGAACCATTCGTTGGCCTCGGCGATCATGCTCAGCATTTGGACCTGGTTCAACGCGTATTCATTCACGACGCCGTCCGCGGAGACTTTTTCCCCGCGGACCAGCGAGTTGATTTGATTCAGCATCGTGGAAAAGGAGTTCTGCCAGCTTTTGATGTTCGATTGCTCCTGGTTTGAAACCAGAATGGACGCTTCGAGCTGCTTCGCGGCCGCTAAATCGGAGGCGTGGGCTGCGACTAGCGATGAATTGGAAGAGTGTGTGTGTGGGTACATAAAGCGTCGAGAGAGCGTGGCGCGGAGGCGGCGTTGGGCGCTTTGACGGCGTTCCAGAGACAGCAGATCGGTTTTACGGAGTTGCAGATGGGGGAGAGAATGGATTGCAGCTCGGGCTTTCCGTAGTTCTCGCAGAAGAAGGCGAATTTTGCGTTGCCTTGCATGACCTGATCGATGATAAACATGGAGCCAGGCTTTAATTCGACGTGGAATAAAGGAACCAACCGAGCATTGAATGGATGATTCAGTGAACAATCAAAAAGCCAAGTCATACATTCAAGTCATTCAAGTTATTCATTCAATTCATTCAACTCTTTCAATTCATTCAATTCATCATAAGGATATATTCTGCCCACTACTCTTCATCAATTCATTCAAACGGGTCAAAAACGGTGTCATAAACACATTTTGATTCATCGGCTCCACGCAATCCAGCTTCACATTCCCCGCTTTCTCCACACATTTCTTCACCATCCCGCAGAACACTTCGCTCAATCCTTCCTCTTCAATCCGCTCGCTCAACGACGCGTATTCCACAACAAACGGGAAGTCCTTATCCTCCAAAATCTCCGGAATCGTCGCTTCGAACTCCGAAAACGACGGCAAAAACTGATTTCGACACTCCATTACCTTCGCGGCGATCTTCGAATACACGAACGGAAGCTCCTCGAAGCCGCTCTGCGTCTCCATTATATCCTTATAATTCTTCTCGACCTCGTGGAAGATGAGGGAGTTGATTCTTTGCGTGCCAACGTTCGGCGTGAATTCGTAAGAAAGAATGTCGTAAGAGTCATTGCTGAAGCGAATCACGCAGGCTTCGGCCGCTAAGAAATCCATACCCACGAAGAGAACGGTGCGAGGAGAAGAGAACTCCTTGTGGAGAGCTTTCATGTAGCTGTACGCCACAGCGATGGAATCGATGTTGTGAATCAGAGTGTATTGACTAATTTGCGCTATATTCAATCCCAGCTGGAAGTGACTGATCTGCTCTTCGGTAAAATACGACGGAACGGAAAGCACCAATCTCAAATCATCCAAATGGCGCTCCGCCTTGATATCACGTATCCGGTCGGCAGCGTAACTACCTAGTAAATGCTCTGGGGTGAATTGTATCTTCTTTCCAGCAAACGGAACTTCATAGATTACAAATCCGTCTTTATCCGATTTCATCGAAGGAAAACACTTCAGCGTCTCCTCTTGAATCTCTGATATTTGACAATGGATCACAGCTCTCAAATTATGACAGATGGCCGAGTAGTCCGGGCGGCACTAGGTATTCAGAAACCACATCATTTATACTATCAATCGCGAAGCTTCGGCGGATAATCGCTCTTTATCAGCAAATGCAACGGATGTACTAAAGAAGTAAAGATTTAGCCTAACCATGTCCTACACTGGAAATTTCGATCCATTTCGATCCGCTGTTACAACAACACACGACTTTTCGGGTTCAGAACGGTTTTCAAAAAAAATACCACTCACAGAGACATCGTCTCCCAAATCAATTCCTGAACAAAGATAATTGCTCATAGATATAAAAAGAAATGAGGAAATAGCACATCAGTTTAATATCAAAGGTGTATCCATGTATGTTGTGGAGGCGCAGGCACAGTGGTAATCCCACATGGTAAGAGTTCCATAGATTACTGTGATATTAAGAACAAGATTGTTATAACTGTCTAGAACATCATAAGGTCCTATTTCGAGAGCACAAGACGAGAATCTAGTAGAGTCCAAATGAACTGGTATTCTTCTAGACAAGAGATTACCGACATTTCTCATTATGAGCTGTATCGCTTCCATACAAGGATGTTGGAATATTATCATTAGAAATTAGTGAAAAGCAGATGAAGAACAAAGTCAGCAAGAATAGTCGTTTGATGTAAAGCAAGAAAGGAAGTGAAAATTTCGTTTTACATGTTTGTGCAAGGGTATTCAAAGCAAAATAACTCATTCCATTCGTTGTGAGGAATGGCCGAACCATTCGTGATAGAGATCAGCCAAAGACTGGAAATGAAGTAATAGAATTAGTTTGGTTTGGAAAACACAATATAAAGACAACGACTTTTCTAAAATATTCATAACTTCTTCCACATTCACAGTCATATCATCCCGCTTCGTAAAGGGCGACATGACGGCAAAATACCGATGGCCCAATAGCATCGCTTGCTGATAGGTAGACAGGTGCTCTTTGAACGTGGAGCCGGTAAAGATGGCCCCATTCGGAAGAAACTCGATCACCAAACATCCCTTCTGTGCAAACAAGATATTGCTAAACGCTCCTCCATGCGGACCAATCACTGCTGCAGCGGACGACCACAGCTGCATCAACGAGTCAGCGTCATTGTAGTCTGTATGGAAGAAGGGGACGTACCGATAGCCGTGCTCTGCAGCGAATTGCTTGAGCTGGCCTTCCAGCACGGCCTCGTTTACAACTTTTCGCCCACCTCCAATCGTTCCCTTTCTTCGAGACAAATAAAGAATTGTGTTTTTGGTAAACAAGGAAGGATTCACGATATGCGGGAGCTGCAGCAAGTACTGCGCACGCTGCCACAAATAGGGATGCAGAGGAGGCGTATTGCAAGGAATCACAAGCCTCTCTGCAGAAATTCCATCTCCCAAGTGTTTAATGCTTCGATAATCGAGCAACTGGTCTGCATGAATTCCTAGCCGCTCGAGAAGTGCTTTCACCAGCGTGTACTGTGGAGACAAATCTAGCAGATAACGGAAGGAGGCGTCGCCGAGAAAGGCTTCCAGCTGGACCAGTTTGGGAAGAACACTGTCGATAAAATGATGGATTGTGGCTCCATTCGGAACTAATAAAAAGACCACTGTCCCCGGCACCTTGTAGGGACGCTGCAAGGACGAGGAAAGAGCTTTGGAATGGTCCGAAAAGCAGCCACAGTCATAGGTAAATGGGAGTTCTCCGTTGCTCACCACATCGACTCTTCCTCGAATGTACTCTTTCTGAAAGAAGACAATGTAGTCCCTCTCCTTCATATTCTCAATGTCGGCAGCAGTAAAATCAGTAAACAAGCTCACATAGTGAGAGGGATGGGCACAAATATCCTCGTTCTTGCACTTATCACGTTTGTAACTTGCCAATTCTTGGAAATAGCTGGAAATCCCTGGAAGGGTCCTGCGTCTACTTTTAACATACGTAAAAGGAGGAGGAAGGACAAAAGCAGAATATCTGAAAACATAACTTGCATCAAAGTCAGATTTCCCTTCCAAAGATATAGGCATGATTTGGGATAACGTACCAGCAATCTGCACTTGAGCAGCCGTTGGGGTCTCACTCCCCACCGGTTTCTTCTCTTCGCGCAGATGGTGCACGCTTGTGGCTGACTTTTCTTCGGTATCACTCTCCTGGACTGAAATGACCGAAGGAACTTCCGTATTACTGGAAGGAACAGCTATATCCATAGGATTTTCAAAGTTTATCTTTTCGGAGCGAAAAGACTCAACAACATCCACTTGGTTTTGCAAATTCACTAACTCCTCCGATACGCGCAAAATATTATTGTTAAGAAATGAATAGACAAATATTATACAAACTACAATGGCGAATAGCAGCACACGGGCAGGTACCTTGCATCGACGATAAAACCATATCATAATATTCTTGCGAATACGCTGTACGCTTTTGAACGGAATATTATCCCATGGAGACATAATATAAAAAAAGTGACAATTCTGTTATGTGAGTAAGGTATTTGTGAGTCGAATCTAGGCAGGAGGTAATTTGAACGAATTCGAATTTCGGTAGTTCAGATGGTTTGTTTGAAGAATACTTTTTGGGAATTCAAATATCCGTTTCAATTCTTTGGTAGAAGGTATGGAAGGAACCAGATTTGAGAAAAACACACAAGGTAACACAGGGTCTGAAACAATCCAGGATCTATGTTAAGCATGTGATTGGTACGCAAGGCAGTATTTTCAGTATCGAAAATGAAATAGGTATATTCTAAGATGCATTTTCAATAGTAAACACTTTCGAGAGGGATTCTCACCTGACAATGTTGAAAATAGAGCTGCAATCCAAAATGAGTCATATTTGCAGAGACGAATTTTAGTGTCATATTGAAAATAGCATCAAAGGGAGTGCAAACGATTACTGAGATGATTCAGCGTATAATAGAGTTCCAAAATGTATTCCCTCATATTGTCAAGCATAATCACATAGAAGAAAACTGAGAAACGATCCGAACTTAGGAAACAAAATGGAGAAGTTCAATATTGTGACATAACCGCATTGCCATACAAAAAATAAGGAGCATATAGGACAGAAGAGCCTAGTGTGAACATGATAAGGGTTGGAGTGAAGAGGAAAGTACTGTATCCCTTATTGCATCAACCTATTCGACAAAGGAATATCAGTTCCAGAAAATAATACAGAGATGAAATAAACTGATGATTGACACTGTTACAAAGCGATTATATTACACTGAGCGAAATATGAAATCGAGTAGTAGGAACGATGGATATATCATTATGAATAGGTAGATTGAATAAACTTAAGGGAAGCGAGTTTCTTTTGGATGGGTATATTACGCTTGGAAAACCGAAAGAAATGACTTTGAATGACTGCACCTATATTCTCCAGTGTTATCAAGGAAATCATGCAGATGAATACACAATGAAGAAAGGGAGGAAGGTTCATTTATTCAAAAATGGAGTACTTAAAATGGCTTACGAAGAGGATGATGGTGGAGTTCAAATCGGGGAGTTTACTTACTTTGAGAATGGCTGTGCTGCCTTTGTCCAATCATTTGACGAAATTCTGGATCAGCACAACTTTAATCGTATTGTAAACCACGTTCGAGGCGAGCGTATGGAAATCTATTCGCATGAGAGTGATCACCTGATATATCACGGTGAATTTAACGAAAAGCGAGAACGAGAAGGATGGGGCATCCAGTATGACGAAGAAACGGGTGCCATGTTGCTTGAGGGGATGTGGAAGGGGAACAAGCTGGTGGAGATCATCCGCAAGATCGAAGGAGCCATCATGATCGAATTCAAGGAAAACGGCAACAACACCATTGCTTCCAACCAAATTCCCCTGTATGTGGGTGAATTCGTTTATGATGAATCGAAAGAATCGTTTCTTCGAAATGGTCGAGGATACTGGATCGATGAAGAAACTCGGATTGCTACTCGCGAAGTGGAATGGAAAGATGGAGTGGAAGTGAGTGGAAGAGATCTCTATGATGGATGGTACACTCCATGTCGTCAAATATCCACCATTAGCTCTTTTAAAGAATTGCACAACATTAATTTAGAAGTGACAGATTTGGTAATTTCATCGAACTGTTGTAATGATATCAGTGAATTGAATCTGAACGAATTCGGGTGGTTACGCTCAATTGAAATTGGTGATGATTGCTTTGGAAACGTAAAAACGTTCAGAATCGATGGAATGAATCAACTGAAAAGATTGAAAATTGGAAGAAACTCTTTTACAAAAGTCAAGCAGCAAGAATGGGATGCTGACTACAAAGCTGCAAAGGCAAGAGCAAACGACTCGACAAAATCACTCTACATAGTGAATTGCGAGTCACTGGAATGGATTGAGATAGGTCAATCAAGTTTCGCAGACTTTGGAGGCGAATTTGAACTGAAGAATCTTGCATCCCTTCAAGGTATTAAGATCGGTGACGTTGAAACCAATTCATGGAATTTTGATTTGAATCAATCTTTTGTTTTGCAGGGTAATGATTGTTTCTTTATTTTGATTTCTAAGATCTGCCTTATCTTCGTACGATAAAGTTAGGTGCCACAACTTTTGGTAGTTCGTCGATTATTTTTGAGAGTGATGTTCTTTACTGAATGGAATAATTGATTAGATCTACCTTCATTACTGACTATCGAGTTAGGGTACTGTGCGCTGTGTGGAAATGACGAGTCAACAATGTTGGTCATGAGAAGTATGAATTGCATTGGTGATTTCATATAATGCAATAGATCTTCCCTGTCTAATCAGTATCAATAATACTGGAGGAGGCAGTTTTTATGAACCCCGTTCCGTCACCTTAGAAAGTTGGTACATGGCAATGTGATTGAGAACTCTAGATATCCCAAATCTTAATCATATCAATATGGTCTATTCATTTGTAAACATCGAATCAAAATCAATCACCAGTTTTTTCACATGGAGGAAATAAGATATAGATGTGTCTTCTGTTCTGAATAAACACATCCAGATTCAATATATATGGTCAGCTTTGTATCAAAGAATATCTCAACTTCAAAAACAGTAGATTTGGGATGGATGTTAGTCTCTATTGAAAAGGATATGACACTTTTAATAATGTGAAAAAAGGCATTTGTATTTGTATTGATGGTTTTTTGAAATAACAAATCAGCGACAGTTCATCTATACAATAATTCGACTATACTGAATCATTTAGCAATAATAAGTACAACAATGATACAATTCCTGGATATGGGCGAGTCAAACGTATTACTAAACAAAGCCCTACACAAGAGTCGTTCTTCAGCGAAAAGAGTCTATATCTCACAGTAATAATGACAATTAGTACTCTGAGTTGTTTAATTTAGGATAACAATGAATGAGACACATAATAAGAAAGTATATTATCGAATGATTATAGAATATCATTTAGTATTGCACATACACTAGAAAACTGCTTTTACTGCCGAAAAATGTAGCACAATAGGTCTAAACACTAAAACACTCAGCTAATACATTCAAATAATGGTATACAATAGATGTGAGCATTCTGAAAATTGTCTTGGCAAAGCGAAAGCTCAGTAGCAGTTTTCACAAATTTACTTTGAAATAGTTAAGAATGTCGAGAAAAGTAGTTACACTCTATGAAAAAATATAAAATAGGTTGATTGGGAAGCAATTAGTAATGATAAGCACCGTTCCAACTATCTCGGGAATTCTATTATGGGAAGTAGTCTATCTCACAATAAAGGTATTATTTGAATGCGAATATTACTGTAGATAGTTTGTGGTATACAAAAGAGGAAAAACGGTCGGATGACGACAGTAAACGTCTACAAATCAAGGTAAATAGCTAGAGTATGTATTTTATTTTGCAGCTTCAGGAGGAAATCACAATGATGGAGATGTTAGGTCTTTCTGTACCAAGTATTATTCATAATCAATCGGTTGTATCTACCAAGCAAGAATCGACTCAGACTGTTTTTTTGCATATCTGTGTGTAATATTCAGGTGCATAGTGAAAGAGTGAGTACATCTTCATCCAAAGAAGAGGCGGGAAAGGCGTTTAGTGTAAAATACAATTCATCACAGACAGCTGATGATGGGCATAAAGTAGTCACAATAGTGTGTATATCATTCTTTTAGATTGCTTCCGCTCATCAGAGTGAGACAAAACCAGCTGATGAAGAGTCGATTGCGAATAGGGATGTGTCTACGCTTGATAGAAAGAATCATGAAGAGGACAATCGCCATCGAGTTGTTTTTTATAAGGAATTGTTATTTTAGAGGAACAAACCTTATCACCACGCAGATCATCACCACCACCGTCATCATCATCATCGTCATCACAAAAGATCTCGTTCTCGCTCTCGCTCTTCTATGAGTCATCGAAATTGTTCACATTCACATTCGCCTTCGCACTCATAACCTATCTATTCCTACCGTTATTTTATTGATTCAAATTGTTCTTTTATCTTGTTTGCTTGTTTGTTTTACAGACTGTTGGTTAGAAATACAGGGTTTTACATTAATGCTTGTCTAATTGTTTGATCTTGCGCTAAGTCACGTAATTCCTTCAAATAAACTAGATGACAGTATTGGGAGAATTAGTAAAAAGACTTTGAATATGGACATACTGTAGTGAAGAACATGTGAACCAATATCATCATTACTTTGTTTGATTTTTCCTTTTATGTTTCTTTGTTTTATGCTTTGCACATTTGTTTAAAATATACCTCCAATTCAGTATAGGTTGCTTTGCTAAATAATAGGAATTTTTGGAGGAATCTATATAATATAGTGTTTCTCAACACTCTTGAAACAGGTGTTCATAGAAATGTGATTATATGAAAATTACAACGAAACAATAAGGAGGAGATAAACTCAATACCAATTCTTAAGAGTACTGCACTATGACCAATAAAGCAAAAGGAAGCCCATTCGATGAAATATTGCTTATAAACAAACACAAGGAAGCAACCTGAATCTTAATAAGTCTGAGCATCCTTATTCTTCTTTTCACCAATCTCAAGGGTCTTGCATCTCTTAAGAGGACGCTGGGCTCTCATCTTGCACTCCTTACACTCGAGACGGAGAACCAACTTCTTGGTTTGCTTAGCCTACAAGATAAAACACAGAGCACGATCTTACCTTCTTGTGGAAAATAGGCTTCGTCTGACCACCATAACCCTTTTGCTTCATATCGTATCGTCGTTTTCCTATTTGTCAGCTTAGAATACAAGTTCCACCTTGCGGTCTCAAAGAAGCCTTTCCAGCCTTGTACTGTGTAACCTTGTGCTCAGTGTGCTTATTACACTTTTTGCAGTAGGTTTTCTCAGTCTTGGGAACGTGAACCTACATGGTGGTTAGATCTGTTCCTCACATAATATCAATAGTGCATGACATATATATACCATCTCGAATTCTGTGTCAGTGCCTCTAAATTAGAAAAAACGAGCAGGAGTTTCATCATATGTACAGTGTGAGTCGTCTTGATAATTATACTCGTATTTCCTCAATCAAAATCATATATTCTCCTACATATTTGCTTGCACTTTTAAAGAAATATGATAATCAGAGATATATACTTTGGTATGAATGGAAATTTTGATACTACTACTACAATTGCACAATACACGTGTATTTCTTTATTATTGATCCACATGTGAATGAAGCCAGTATTCTTGGCATATGGTACGTATTTATCATTCGATATTCACAGATTATGACTCTTTATCAGAACCAATGCATACTTGTTTGTTAGCTCGTTGTAAATAGCTTTATATGCATGAAAAACAGCATATCTCTAGTATTTTCGTAGAATACCCAAAAGCCTGTTTGATGATACGTGAGACTATGACATAAGGCTTATTATTACTTCAAATTTCCTATCTATATCAAAATGGTTTTAAATGAGTGTTTTCTGAGATAGTAACCACTATCATAGGGAAACGATGACAGCTACCTTTTCAAGCAATGTATTTTACATACATCGCGTTAAAAAGAAAGGGGAAAAACAGTGAGGATAGAAATGCAAAACCCAGTAAAAACAGGTTGTATTCTTCTAATTTCGATTTTATTTAAATATTAATATTGTATTGATCTTGCGTATTAATCTAATAAGTAGCAAACAATAATGCTTTCAAATGCAGCGATGTATACTGCTCTCTATAAGCATAATTTATCAAAGTTGGTTGGTATTGTATGCAGGTTCCATTGTACGATAATGGATGGAGAAGGCAGTATTCAGCAGGTTGCGCAATTTCTTTCATGATAATTGTAGTTCACCAAAGGAAAACCTTTCCACTTGCATGTTGGAGATTCCTTGACCTGGAAAAGAACATTTGACAAAAAAACAGTATAGCTTGGTAAAATGGTTAATTTTTCGATTGAAATTTATTCTGCTATTACGTGTGACAATAATCCTATTCATAAATGGGAGAATAAAGGTAACAAGCCAATTGTTCCCGGAATGCTGTTAGGTAGTATGTTCTCTGCGATGATCGGAAGCCGTGTATGATAATAACGAGCTGCTGAGTAGATTCCTGGAAGTCTTTACATGAAACAGTCTTTGAGCTTTTTAAAGCCTGTTTTATGTGACGAATGGGTTTCTGCAACAATTTCAGTTTCGCGATTATTTACAAAAAAGAATATTGCAGTATTGAGCACGAAAATATATGATAGTGTAAAATCAGCAGTTTCTTATTACCATAGAATTCGACGTGTGTGTGTAATGGGGAAGCAATAATATCTCTTCCTTCTTGTTCTCAAGAGAATTAGTGATGTTTTCAGGAGAAGGCGTCTACGTATTATGGAGAGAGCAATCCCTTGGGTCGTATTCGTAAAGATATTCGGTCTCTTTAGCTTTCTTTTTGTTTGATATGTTAGCAATAAGTGATATAGCACTGCACTTTTAACACACAAGAGCTTAGTTCATTAAGCATATTCGTCTGCTAACATATTAAACAATAAGGAGATCAAATCAACTTGATACAATGTATATCCAATCATAAGCATTTGTATCAAATTGTGTCAAGCAGAAATAGTCTATTATCGTCATCTCAATCCACAGTTGAATATAATCAACAATAGCAACAATACATTATATTTGTGAATATGGACAGCATATAAACTGACCAATAAGTGATCAGTATTGCAAATATACTAAGATTAATAAAGATAATAACAACTCAATAGAAACGATTAACTATCATATCTCTCGTTTTGAGATAAATCCAGTGGTTCATTGAAAACATCAATCAAACGATTATTCCGTATGTATATATATTGAAGTCAAAAAGAAAAAAACGATATCATCTCACATGAATACCTTATTAACATGTGCGATTGCATTATATGCCATAAAATACTAATCAGACATAACAGAGTGACAATTCTTGTAGATAATAACAGAAAAATAATAATACATAAACAAACAATGATATAAAAATGCAATGATGTTGAAATCAATGAAATAGAATATAGGGTTATGGATAGTCTTTTCCAGATAATGGCATTATAGAATTGTCATGTATAATACAACAGAAAATATAGTAAACAATTGTTGAAACAGAAAATACTTGGAGATTCCATTATTGATAAATTGCTTCCATAATATAAGAAACAATATGATAATACTTGTACCAATATACAAAAAACAGAATCTCTTTAATAATCCTTTATGGTAATACTATTCATGGATCAATTTCATAAAAAGGAAGCACTATAAATACTCTTTTTAAATTGTTTTCTATTATAATGCAGGTTATCTCCACCTTCAATGACACTTTATTATTATTGGTATATTTGCATCATATTCACACTTATAGTAATGCAGAAGTATTGATTCCAATTCACAAAAAGGTATATTCAATTTATTACATGAGTAATATCAAGTAACAATGATATTAGCCAATGTATGTGTTATGTACTCCTTAATCATTATGATTTATATTCCTCAACAACATATTAGAATAAGCATAAATGGTGTATTCACAAATATCCACAAATGCGACTCTTATGGACATTGGTTGTATTATCATTTAGAATGTTTGAATTGATAAGAAATTGTAATATAATAAAGTATCCCTGAAGACTTGAGCCATTTTATATAAGCTCACATAGCGAGATATTACAAATGTTGAGAGTTACAAATGGATACCAAAATAAAAACTAAGGCTCAAATGTCTATAAATGAACATGAATATTAGGGTATATGATTGTATTAGGTGGACATATCTACACAATAAAAAAGATATAAATAAACCGAAATGATTATCTAAATAAGTAAATACAAAATAAGGAAAAACACACATTTCAAGTATTAGAGTATAGTATTTGAAAATCAATTATTCATATAGCATCAGCCTTCACTATACAACAAACAGAAAAGCAGTCAATAATCATTTATAATCTTAACATTACTGAAAGCTAATCATTATTATTCTGTATATCCAGGACAATTCGGAGTAGTATCCAAAGGATATGGTCCAGTTATATCATTGTTGAAACTGCCATTCACTTCCCAATTCCAATTGAAACGACATTGAGCAGCATCTTTAGCATCATTCATATCATAATAGTAAGTTCGAGTCATTGTTTGAGACTGGAAATATTGGTCATCCACACAGAATACAGGATATTTCACCAAAGTCTCTCCAGCTTCAATTGTAACACCAGTTACAGAAGGAGAACAAGCACTTTTCAATTCCTCAGCAAAAGTAGCAGCTCCCACCAAATTGTATCCATTCATATTCAGATTTATGTATCGCAATTTTGGGAAATTGGCTTTATTTGTACATATTTCATTCAGAATATCAACAATATCTCTAGTAAGATTAGCAGCATAACCAGGCTTCTGCCCCTCCATTATGTAATCATATGTAGCAATGTAGTTCTTCACAACATGGAATTCTTCCAAATTTACAAACCAATTCTTATTTTTGTTATCATTCATATACTTCAATACTTCTAAGAATCCTTCACGATATAATGTTCCATCACTAATATAGAGAATGCGAGGACGTGTGAATTGAGCCAATCTCAAATGAAGTATAGCAAGTTCAGTACTAATAGTTCGACCCATAATAGGATCATTCATAATGTAGAAATCGATAGGAGCAGGATTCCTTACTTGTTTATTCAGAGAATCAAACCATAATTGAATACTGATTTTATCAACTCCAGCAAGAGCAATTACACGAGTATGAGCTAAAGCTTTCGTAGGATAAGCATCACGAATTGTCAAATACAATCTAGTAACATTGGTTTCCGAAATGATCTCTTGTTTGCAAACATCAGGAGTTGCATAATTGCAATTATCTCCGAGAATGAAAGGATCATAGATGGGGAACCAAGGTTCAGGAGTAGGAGTAGGAGTTGGCGTAGGAGTAGGGGTAGGAGTGGGTGTAGGTGCTTGAGTGGTGGGAACCTGAGTAGTAGGTTCATATCCAGGACAATCCGGAGTACTAGGCAAAGGATATGGTCCAGTTATATCATTGTTGAAACTGCCAGTCACTTCCCAATTCCAATTGAAACGACATTGAGCAGCATCTTTAGCATCATTCATATCATAATAGTAAGTTCGAGTCATTGTTTGAGACTGGAAATATTGGTCATCCACACAGAATACAGGATATTTCACCAAAGTCTCTCCAGCTTCAATTGTAACACCAGTTACAGAAGGAGAACAAGCACTTTTCAATTCCTCAGCAAAAGTAGCAGCTCCCACCAAATTGTATCCATTCATATTCAGATTTATGTATCGCAATTTTGGGAAATTGGCTTTATTTGTACATATTTCATTCAGAATATCAACAATATCTCTAGTAAGATTAGCAGCATAACCAGGCTTCTGCCCCTCCATTATGTAATCATATGTAGCAATGTAGTTCTTCACAACATGGAATTCTTCCAAATTTACAAACCAATTCTTATTTTTGTTATCATTCATATACTTCAATACTTCTAAGAATCCTTCACGATATAATGTTCCATCACTAATATAGAGAATGCGAGGACGTGTGAATTGAGCCAATCTCAAATGAAGTATAGCAAGTTCAGTACTAATAGTTCGACCCATAATAGGATCATTCATAATGTAGAAATCGATAGGAGCAGGATTCCTTACTTGTTTATTCAGAGAATCAAACCATAATTGAATACTGATTTTATCAACTCCAGCAAGAGCAATTACACGAGTATGAGCTAAAGCTTTCGTAGGATAAGCATCACGAATTGTCAAATACAATCTAGTAACATTGGTTTCCGAAATGATCTCTTGTTTGCAAACATCAGGAGTTGCATAATTGCAATTATCTCCGAGAATGAAAGGATCATAGATGGGGAACCAAGGTTCAGGAGTAGGAGTAGGAGTAGGAGTAGGAGTAGGGGTAGGAGTGGGTGTAGGTGCTTGAGTGGTGGGAACCTGAGTAGTAGGTTCATATCCAGGACAATCCGGAGTACTAGGCAAAGGATATGGTCCAGTTATATCACTGTTGAAACTGCCAGTCACTTCCCAATTCCAATTGAAACGACATTGAGCAGCATCTTTAGCATCATTCATATCATAATAGTAAGTTCGAGTCATTGTTTGAGACTGGAAATATTGGTCATCCACACAGAATACAGGATATTTCACCAAAACCCCAGTAGCTTCAATTGTAACACCAGTTTCAGAAGGAGAACAAGCATTTTTCAATTCCTCAGCGAATCCAGCAGCTCCCACCAAATTGTATCCATTCATATTCAGATTTATGTATCGCAATTTTGGGAAATAGATTTTATTTGTACACATGTTATATAGCAAATCAACAATATCTCTAGTAAGATTAGCAGCATAATCAGGATGCTGTGATTCTATTGAGAAATCATATGTAGCAATGTAGTTCTTCACAACATAGAATTCTTCCAAATTTACAAACCAATCCATATCTTTGTTATCATTCATATACTTCAATACTTCTAAGAATCCTTCACGATATAATGTTCCATCACCAATATAGAGAATACGAGGATGTGTGAATTGAGCCAATCTCAAATGAAGTATAGCAAGTTCAGTACTAATAGTTCGACCTTTAATAGGATCATTCATAATGTAGAAATCGATAGGAGCAGGATTCATTACTTGTTTATTCAGAGAATCAAACCATAATTGAATACTGATTTTATCAACTCCAGCAAGAGCAATTACACGAGTATGAGCTAAAGCTTTCGTAGGATAAGCATCACGAATTGTCAAATACAATCTAGTAACATTGGTTTCCGAAATGATCTCTTGTTTGCAAACATCAGGAGTTGCATAATTGCAATTATCTCCGAGAATGAAAGGATCATAGATGGGGAACCAAGGTTCAGGAGTAGGAGTAGGAGTAGGAGTAGGAGTAGGAGTAGGAGTGGGTGTAGGTGCTTGAGTGGTGGGAACCTGAGTAGTAGGTTCATATCCAGGACAATCCGGAGTACTAGGCAAAGGATATGGTCCAGTTATATCACTGTTAAACATGCCATTCACTTCCCAATTCCAATTGAAACGACATTGAGCAGCATCTTTAGCATCATTCATATCATAATAGTAAGTTCGAGTCATTGTTTGAGACTGGAAAGCATTATCATCCACACAGAATACAGGAGATTTCACCATAATCTCTACAATAGCTTCAATTGTAACACCAGTTTCAGAAGGACAAGCATTTCTCAATTCCTCAGAGAATTCAGAACCTCCCGGCAAACCATATCCATTCATATTCAGATTTATGTATCGCAATTTTGGGAAATAGATTTTATTTGTACACATGTTATATAGCAAATCAACAATATCTCTAGTAAGATTAGAAGCATAATCAGGATGCTGACTGCCTATCTGATAATCATATGAAGCAATGTAGTTCTTCACAACATAGAATTCTTCCAAATTTACAAACCAATTCTTATCTTTGTTATCATTCATATACTTCAATACTTCTAAGAATCCTTCACGATATAATGTTCCATCACCAATATAGAGAATACGAGGATGTGTGAATTGAGCCAATCTCAAATGAAGTATAGCAAGTTCAGTACTAATAGTTCGACCTTTAATAGGATCATTCATAATGTAGAAATCGATAGGAGCAGGATTCATTGCTTGTTTATTCAGAGAATTAAACCATAATTGAATACTGATTTTATCAACTCCAGCAAGAGCAATTACACGAGTATGAGCTAAAGCTTTCGTAGGATAAGCATCACGAATTGTCAAATACAATCTAGTAACATTGGTTTCCGAAATGATCTCTTGTTTGCAAACATCAGGAGTTGCATAATTGCAATTATCTCCGAGAATGAAAGGATCATAGATGGGGAACCAAGGTTCAGGAGTAGGAGTAGGAGTTGGAGTAGGAGTAGGGGTAGGAGTGGGTGTAGGTGCTTGAGTGGTGGGAACCTGAGTAGTAGGTGCTTGAGTAGTAGGAGGGTTAATAGGTTCAATATCGACAGGTCCTTCATGGCCTTCATTGTTTTCAATCGATATCTTGATTTGAATAACTACTTCAATGGTTATCTCCACTCTGTATTGGATTAGACTGACATTGCTCATCGCATTCATACTCAGAACAAATTGAATATCGACACTCACTTGAGTCAGTACCACAATGCTAATGTTTTGCATGGAATTAGTACCAACAACCACTTTTTTCAATGCAGGAGTGTTGAGTACTAATTTTCCAGATACATCCAGCAATCTTCGAGTAGTAGCCAGTCCAGAGAAGCAATTCTCACCAATTATTAATTCTTCCAGAACAGGTGCATTTATCTCAATATACTGGGTATTCATAAATGTGTTATCCTCGAATATCAGGATTTTCAAATAAGGGAAATCGAGTACAACAGACGTCACATTGTTGAAAGAACCTTCCTTGAATGTCAGCTTAGTTACATCTTTTGGAATGTTGTCGATTGAGCCAATGCTGTCATCCACTACAATTTCCTTAGGACCTTCTGTAGGAGTCGGTCCAAAATTGAAAGTTGAGGTATATTCAGCATCCGAACTCATCGTAAACAAAAACGAAGCACCCATATAATACAGCTCAACTTTTGAACCTGAATCCCAGCCATTCGATCCACTGTCCTTTAACAGAATAGTGTGCAAAACTGGATTAATCCAGATTTCTTCAGTGCCCGTTACACAGCCTGTTACACTATATATTGGTTCTGACGACAGATAATCTTCTCCTTCAAATATAGCAAACGATTCCTCCTCAGGAGCCGTAGTTCCACAAGTACGCACTATTTGAATTAGTAACTTTCCTGGAACAGTAGGAGCCTGAGTGGTAGGAGCCTGAGTGGTAGGAGCCTGGGTAGTAGGAGCCTGAGTGGTAGGAGCCTGGGTAGTAGGAGCCTGGGTAGTAGGAGCCTGGGTAGTAGGAGCCTGAGTGGTAGGAGCCTGAGTGGTAGGAGCCTGGGTAGTAGGAGCCTGAGTGGTAGGAGCCTGAGTGGTAGGAGCCTGGGTAGTAGGAGCCTGGGTAGTAGGAGCCTGAGTGGTAGGAACCTGAGTGGTAGGAGCCTGGGTAGTAGGAGCCTGAGTAGTAGGAGCTTGAGTAGTAGGAACCTCCGAGGTCGGACCTTCGGCCGTGGGGGTAATCGTGGGAAGACTATCGATTGGTCCCGACGCAAACTTGATCGACATCGCATATCCAGCAATTCCAGCATAGTTTGCATTCGTATCGCTATCCACAACAGGAAGATTCATCTCGATATTCTCGCAAGGCACCACGTTGAAAGTCACGGTCCATTTCTTTTCATCGAATCCCTTCATCACACCGTACAAAGAAGGTTCGTCCGTAGCTCCCGTGTAAATGTCATCGCCTGTCACATCGTTCACAGTCTTCATTCGAACCAGGTCGAGAGCCATCAGCACAATCACAGGATCTCCCTCAGCAATAAAGTTCATCAATCCGCTCTTGTTCGGAATATCGTTCTTCGTCACTTCAAAATAGAACTTGTTCACATCAGCAGTACAAAGATCTTCTTCTGAAATCTGATTGGCGTCGTTTTCAGTCATCAAACCCTTCTCTCTAACAAACTCTATCATATCTGATGGAGAAACTTCATTGAACTCAACTTCCTGGCTTTCCTTCAAACACTTCAACACATAGGGCAAAGAAAAGTGTGCATCACGTCCCTCTTTTCGCAAAGCAGCTTCAGCAGCAAGAACCAAAGCACTGGCCCATGAAGTGGAGTCCGAGTTCGAGACAGAATACTTTTCAGTTCCCTCGCACATATCACGACCAACAACATACTCGTTTGGCCAGGAGGGTGCAGGAGTACTCTCAGGCTCAGCATAGGAACCCTCTCCAGAATACTTCACTCCAAGATCCATCATTTTTTCCAGGTCTTCGTCACTAAAATCAGATAGAATGGAGAAATTCATAGGGTATTTTCTGTAGGGAGCCTTTTTCTGGATGTCCTCACAAGATTGTTGCCAATCACTTAAATGCTTCCTATACAATATTATGCATCAACATAGTTTACGAAAAGTAGGTAGGATTGTTGGTACCATTCTTCGAGCTGTAGTGTGCTAAATAAGCTTCGTAGTCAGAATTATCGCACCCAGAGATAGACAAGGCATAAAATACCTGAAATAGAGTCAAAAACAATCCAAGTGATATCATTACCAGTAAAATTGTGAGCATTACGTACAAGAAATACGTCATATTTTTGGAATGATAATAATAATATTACTATTGTACATATCATGATCATTCCAGAGTGGTATTAGTAGTAGGGAAAAGGCGATAGATGCGCGAAAATCCATTTTCTACCAAATAACCGCGGTGAACTTTTTTCGACCATTTTTCGACCATTTTCGGCCATTTTCTGCCATTGTCTACCTGCTCACCTCGATGTCCATAACAAGAAACGCGCGGAAACCCATGGCTGCCAATTTCGGCCAATTCCTGCAATGTTAACCTGACTTCCATTGTAGGCCATGGTATCCATGGTTGTGATGGGGCAACGTACGTTGCCCCGGGAGGAATCTTCGATTCCTCCCCATTGTCTTGTTGACTAAGGTAAAGAGAGAAAGACCATGCACTACTCCATGCTTATTCAAGGCTCACCTACCAACGGCTCATTCACCTGGATCAACCCCTACAAGTACAAGAATCCTTATATCACTTCCATGACTGTCCTGTTTCGACCCAAGGATGCCCAGGCTATGTTCAACAACGTTGACACGACGAATGTGATTACTAACAGCAATGATGAGACTGTGACAATCCCTGCTGGTTATTACACGATCAGTGAGATCATTGCCTTGCTCAATACCATGACTGATACTACATTCTCGATATCTACTAACGCCTCGTCGTTCGGCTGTATCTGGATTCAGTCTCCACACACCATTGACTTCACAGATGCACCTGACATTCGTGAGATCCTCGGCTTCGATGGACGAACGGTCATTCTGCCTGCTTCGTTCAGTGGATCGAATGTGATTGATATCACGCGAAATCGCCAAGTGATTCAGGTCTACTCGACGATCGTGCGATCATCGGACCTGAAGATTGCCAACCAGAACAACAACCTGCTCACCACGATGATTATTGACGATCCAACGGCTGACTACGTGCGAAGTGTGGAAGACGTGCGTATACCAATGATCACTCGGTTTGATCAATTGATGTTCGTCTTCCGCGATATGGATGGCAAGATGATGCGACTGAACGGCGAATTCGAACTCCAGTTGACGATTGAAGACGTGTATGATGAAGTGCCTTCATCGATGGGGGAAGCTTGGGAGGCAAAGCCTCCCGGCGGAACTTCGTTCCGCCTAGCTTCGCTTCCCACGGGGGTGACATCGTCACCCCCAACGATTGCCTCTGCAAACCAGTTCAGTATGATCGAAGTGTTCGGTAATACCACGAAGAAGGAAGTGAAGCTGGACAATCCTCTCTCGTTCGACCAGTGCTACATCTCGTCTGTGTCGTTGTATACGGACTTCGTGTTGCACAACGTGCCGACTGACCAAGTGGTGCTAATCAATGCTGGCGCTACGATTCAAGAGATCGCGATACCACGCGGTGCATACGACATCGAAACGATCATTGCAAAGCTGAATGCAAGTGATGCCCTGTTCGAATTGGTGTATAGCGGTGAGAATGCGTTCCACATCACGGTAGATCACTTCTACATGATTGATTTCACGAATGCACCAGAGATCAGGTCAATCCTTGGTTTCGAATCTGACATCTTGGTGAAAGGAGTGGATAACCCGAAGCGCTACTACCTGTCTTCCTCGTGTAATCACGTGGTTGTTACTGACAGCAGGGAATCGCACATGTTGACATTGCCTGTCGGTTACTACACGTTCAGCGAGTTCATCGAGGCTGTCGGTGCTGAGATGGTGAAAGTGCTTCCACTCACATCCATGACGATCGAGGTTGATCATGTTCGCTTCAATGTCCAAGCAGACGGATGGTATTTCGATCGATCCAGTGATGACACGACGATCAATGGTTTTGGTTGGACTCCATGGTTCAAACTGTCTCCATCTGTGCAGAACCTGTGCATCGAACGACCTATGGAAACTTCGTTCAACCCTGAAAGCGATTCCCCACCTGATATGACGAATGATCAAGGTATTGGTGGTCATGCGTACATAGGATCAAACACCTTCATTGCGTATGACTGGAAAATGCGTACGAATGATAATCGGTTCCTGCTAAAGCCTCTCGCGACATACACGATGCGTTTAGCTGATGGTTCAGTACTCGATAGTGGTGAATTCTACATAACGGAAGATACGTCTACCCCGATCAAGATGAATACTCTTACAACCACATGTTTTAATGAACTCAATGCTCGATATGCGAGTGCTATGGAACTACCTCCATCTCACCAGAATGCGATTGCGTGGACGGTGAATGACAATAGAGAAAGCATGTCATGGACTGCGAAGGACTATGCACCAGAATTGGAATTGCATATCACATCGGAAAATACAGGTGACTTGGTGTCATCGAATGGTTCTTCGATCGGACCTTGGTATTCCAAGGATAGTATATATCACACGAAAGTGTTTATCGATACGACGAATTTTATACTTGGAATACGTGGATATGGCGAAAGACCTCTCACAATCCAACGAGGTCATTATAGCGCTATTGATATCGTGAATATGATCGCTAATGTGATCAATAAGATATATGTAGATGCGTCTCTCGGAGGGTACTTGGTATATGTCATTGCAGATAATGGTGGTCGAGTACGAATGGGATGTCGAAATGGTACAGAACCACGATTCATATTGTTTTGTGATAATCCATTTTTCAAGATTATACCCGGACCATACGCTGAACCAGGTGGTGTGTATTTGTCTTGTTATTTCGAGTTTTATCGCAATTACTACATCAGAATGCCCGAGTTGACATCACCTTACGAGTTTGCGATGGCAAACATCGATGGACTGAATGTGACGAATATGATCAAAGGTAGTACGTATTCCGATCGTGCTGTGTCGATCGAATTCATACAACCGACACGTGTTACGTATGTGGGGAAGCAAAGCTTCCCCGGGGCAGCTTCGCTGCCCCACTATGTGAGGAATGATGAAGTTGTTGTTCCATCATTGGCTACCTTCGTTGACTGGGAACAATCTGAGTCGTACACGGCTAACACAACGATTCGCTTCCCGTACGGAATGATGACACTGGACGAAGAGGGAAGCAGTGCTTCCCCCGAGACTGATATCACGTACACGGATGACGTTCAGACATTCACGTGGACCATACCATCACGATTGACTCAGACTGACATGATATGGCACATGAACCAGTGTTTTGACTCGGCTGCACTGAACATACGATGGAAAGCTGAGTCAGATGGGTACTACATTCACGCAGACTACGTGTTCTCGTTGAGTGGCAACCTGGGAACCATCGTTCCCGCTTCAGGATCGCAATCGCATACATGGCGTATCCCTTTCGACGATGGTGTGTACTATGCCAACTATGGTCCGATGGTTGCCGAGTATCCTGTCGATATCACGAACGGTCTATCGAACATACAGCTGTATTGCAACATCGTGAAAAGCAAGACGATACCACTGCTTGCGAATGTCCCGATGGACAGCTTGTACAAGAATTACTTCTACAAGAATCGCATGTTGGTACCATGTTCTGAATTGCTTGATCGCATCGTGTACGAATTGAAGGACGAAAATGGTGACCCGCTATCGTTCATTGGGAACGTGTACCTGCTAATCGGATTCACCGTTTCAGGAGGAAATAATAAATGAATCTAGTGTTCAACATTGCTCGAACGTACGAACATGAATTCACAAGTAACAATCTCATCAAAAGCGACATGGTAATCGACAGAGTGACTATGAAGGGAGAATCGCCTGGCACCTGCCTTGTCCTTGATCGAGTGAACAACATGCAAGAACGACGACAGTCTCCGTTGGTTGTATTGAACGAGGAGTACACGGAGAATGCACACATGAACGTCGTGGTACCCAAAAGTCGCAAATGGTCATTCTCGTTGACCGATAAGACCGGTGCAACGATTGCCCTGCCAATGCCGATTACAGTGTGCATTCACTTCCACACAATAAATGAGTCATAATCGTGCACTACCGGTAAGTGTGATTAACCACAATACAGTAATTCCGAAGAACAACGAACG